GAGAAAGCAGCTCTCGCCTTCGGCTCTACAAGCTTCCGCTGTTGTTTTGCTGCATTCAGCGGATGAGGGGTCGGAAAAGCGGGTGTTGCGGTGTGCTTGCTTCTCAGAAATAATGCGAACTTTGCTTATCGGACAGGGGCATCTCTAACATTTTGACACGCTCACAAAAACGGTTGTTTCGACAAGCCTCATTCAGCCAAGCCTGTGCGGTTTGCTATGTGTCGGTCATGGGGGTGTGTTTGTGTGACACTTTGCCATTTTGCTGAAGACACTCTGTTCGGTGTAAATGCACACACGAGCAGATCTGCACGATCGCTGTGATATTGTGTCAGCTAAGCAGAATAAATGTTTGAGGTTTTTCCACTTTTGCTGTTTATCTCAGAGGCTTGTCAGGCAGTCAGGGCCCCCTTTCCTCCTTTGAGCGTGCATGACACAATCCACATCAGGTTGGACTACATCGACTCCACAGCTGCAGATGAGGGTTACTTCAAAACTTAAGATTTAATGTAAACTTACAAAACTTGAGACAATTAAAGTCCTGGCAGATTTTTTATTTTTTTAAAATCACGAATAAAAGCCGTTTATACCCTTTAATCTATATTAACTGAGATAAATGGGAATTATAGGATGTCTTTAAAACAAAACTCTATGACTCAATGTAAGTTAGTATGATATGATAGCAGTCGAGGACATTAAACTTGCACCATTTTTATTTTCTATTTTATATGACAAGGTGTGTCGTCAAATCTGGGTCAGGTCTATGAGTGAAAGTGTTTTAGTTTGACTTTAGGACAAGATAACTTTATAAAATCTGTAAATAAATCATGTTTTTACTTTTATTTTGGAATCTGGTAAAAAAAAAAAAATTCTGATACAAATAAAATATCAAAGTTGCCAGTTCTTCAAATTCAAATAATCTGTATTTATTTTTGGAAACCCTTAAAGAGTTATTAAAATCTAGTCATATGAAGTTGTAAGAGTATGCAGACAATAGAGGTAATAGTAAAAAAAAAAAGAAATGTCACACCTGAAAACACAAAATCGATTTTTCATCAGAACCAATCATCTCACACTGACTGTCTTTTTTCTCAGCGATATTGACAAATAACTTTTAAAAACTTTTTTATATGCAACAATTAACAATAAAAACACGAGTTTTATTTTTACAAATTAAAATAAAGAGTTTGTGTTTCCTTCCATGCCCTTGAGTTTAATAGTGACTTTCTAAGACAGTCAATTTAGACCTTCTGAAGCCATAACAAACAACTTTTCCTCAATATACTGTATTACTCTTAGACTACAGCAGTACTACCCAACCTTACTAATATGATTATGATGGTTAAAAATAAAAAAAAAACAACCACAGGAGATCAGACTGGACTAAAAGCACAGTAAGCTGTGAGTGAAGGTGGCCAGGGGAAACATCTACACATTGATAAGTTCAACGTCGACTGACCACCAACAATACTCTGACTCTGATCAAGCATTACATTTTTACTGTTCCTGTGGTCCTGTCTTTGTTGAGTGACCTTCACTGTTTAAGCTGTTGACCCAAAACCTCCCATAGCGGTGACTGTAGGCCTTCTTCTCTGCTGTCCAGGGTTTCTCTGAGCCTATTTCTGGGATCTGGTGAACCAGTTCTGTGCCACAACAAAGTCTTTGAGAAGGTCATTTTGTGGTGGAGTCTTCAACACTGAGCAGTGCAAAAGTGTCTCAATGTGCATCTCCTGTACTGAGGACTCTCATGATTTAAACAACACACTGCAGCAGTTTGGAGATAATGGAAACCATTACCAAAACACTTTATTGTTCAATTTTAATTCAGCTTTAAAAAACAGATTTTACCAGAGTTTGGTCATAGGTTATCCATGAAGAACTAAAATGCAGTCCAGCATGTCGTAGTATATCGTCGTGTGTGTGTGTGTGCGCGCACAAAGCAGCAGGTATGTTGTGTGCAGTCAGCAGCCCTCAGATTAAGCAGATATCTATCTAATGGTGGAGAGGAGAAGGCAGCTGACTGACCTGATTCCAGTCTCGAGCATCAGGATCTGGCGACCCCAGAAAAGACGGGCAAAGTGGGACACAGGAAGAGAGTGTGGGTAATCTGCTTCATTCGAGGTTGGGCTGTTATGACATGTTGATTGTAGATTACAAACAAAACGACCTTCAGGCAACTGTCACTGCAGCCACATAGGTTTAATACTGCATGCAAATGCAAACTGACTTCCATGACAAATATTTAGTATATAGCTCTGTATGTTTTCAGGCACAGGTAATAAACTTACAAATGAAAGTTTAAATGAGAAAATAAATGTAATTTATGTAACTTGTATTATAACACCTTGATCTACCTGTTATCTATTTTTGACCCATTTTTTCTTTCTCTTTATTCCAGGTATCTATAAATTTCTCTAATACTAAGATATTCCAGAAATTAAGCTCCTTCCTACAGATTTCCCACCAAGAATGCACAAAATCTTTAAGATATTTTTATTAGATATTTCCACAGAAAAAAAGGTTATAAAAAGTAGATTACAAGATGAAATTTGATGCTTTAACACATATTTGTTACCACATGTACCAAAAATCTAATAAATTATTAAATAAATATCCAATCACCTTAAGACAACTAGCTAAAAATATAATTTTGGCAAAATATTCAAATATTAAATCTGAGCTTTTTAACTCCTTGAAAACTTGTGAGTGTAGGGGAAGTGGAGGGTTAATAAAAAAAAAATCACTAATAGAATAAAATAGAAGAAGAACTTTATTGATCCTTTATTGAGGAAATTCAATAATGGGCTTCAGATTTTCCCAATTCACTAAAAATCTCAGATAGCTTAGACTTCAGGTCAAAATTAATGCGCACTATGTCAAATAAAGTAATGCTAAAGTACCTCTTGCACCACCTGTGAACCAAAAACACAGATGCAGCTCGTCCGACTATTTTGAGTCACCATAGACCAAGCTATGTCCTACATTATTGTTTTAAACCTTTTTGATGTAACAGTACAGCATTTATAAGACAAGATCAGTCTGTGCATTTCATTAGATTCATCTGAATCCCTAACAACTGAGTGATCTATCACAATTATCTGAAGTTATCTGTTATTAATCAAAGTTATAGATATTGATGTGGCAATCCTTATGACAACTATTTTAGGTTGACCTTAAGTAACTTTATTATTATTATTAATATATAACTGACCTTACTTAGAAGTCCAAATGTGATAATTTATCACACCGAAGCACTGTGACCATAGACTGTATATACTAGGAACAACTTGGTTACACCTACCACCATTATACGAATTTAAAGTCGAGCTGCTCTCCGTATTTCCGGGATTTTCTCCACTTCCCGGAACCACCACTTGCACAGTAACATGTACACTTGGCGGGAGAGTCACAGAGAGTCGCTGTGATGACGATGAGCTACGTACGCCCATAGGCTGTATCAAGTGTCAATCATAGAAAACATGAACCCCCTAATAACCTTTAAAAATGGAGCTGTACAGAAAAAAGAGGACTTGAAAACAAACCAGTCTTACTGCAACTACATGTCACCATTGAAAGCAGGGGGGAGAAAAATGTATATTCTGTGTAATAAATGTCTAAAGTTTGTCCACAGCTCCATGAGGATTGCTCGAGGGGGCGGGATTAATAACCTACACTGAAGCCCGAGGGTGCTGTTCTTGGAGTGGCTTCACCCAGCGAAGAGGCAGACGGCGTCCATTCTATATACAGTCTGTGTTCATGACTAGTTGACTGATTTCAGTTCAGATGTCTTATGTTCAAAAATTTTGATTAAAAAATAATTATTTGATTACCAAATCTCATATAGAAAGAAACACTTAAAACAGAAAGGTGTCTTTCATTTACCTTTTTTTGTCAGTGTTCCTTTTTTAATAAGAGAAATGATAATAAAGCTTGAAATAAAACAAATTTACTTTCCTCTTTTTTTAATCTCTTTTTTAATTTTACAGGCAGTTGATAAATACTTTGACTTGGATGTTTACAGACTTTGGTAAATTTTACAGCTCATCTTAGTTCAAAGCATCTGTTTGATAAAACCACCATCAGTACAACGATGGCTCTAACTTTTCACTGTTCCATAATCATTATCAATACTGTTACATTTCCACTCACTGTATTCTTATAGAGCTGCTGTGACTAGTTTCTATTGTTTTCTAATGAATCCTCATCGACTCCACACCTATTTATACTCTCCTTATCATCTCCACTGTATCCTATTATTTACTGTTGCAGCGGCTCAATATCCACATGGGAATCATTAAAGTTTCATCCTCGAAACAACTTGGCAGACTGTTATGGAAACTGTGTCGCTCCAGGAGTACAAATAGAGGTTGAGGGTGTATATTAGCTACAAAGCATAGCAGTATAAGGCTACACCAGAAACTATAGCTAACTGTGACTGTCAGTGGGTCCGGCCTGGCAGAACAAACAGCAGGCTGGCACTGATCGGAAGGCTCTTTTCATTAGTAAAGTGACATGGCTTGAGAGGCGGGGAGAGAAGCAGCAAAACAAAAAGTGCTTGAATTGTTTAGGCGGACAGACAAATCTGAAAACACAACAGTAAGAAGAATAAGACTCATGTCTTCTGTGCAGTATCGTCTGTATTAAAACTGCAACAACTGCAGAGTTACAAAGTTTGGTGTCCATACTACTAAATGCAAAGCTTTGAATCACAAGGTAAATGTATTTTGTCATAATCTGAGAAAGTAGATGTAAACTGCTCAGATCTCGGACAAAAACGCACTTTTGCGAAAATGCAAGACTGTAGTTTATGTGTGAGATTTATGAAATTCTAATGTAAGAATTATAGACTCTCCTTACTGGTTCATCTGAGCTTCTGGCAAAGCCTTGCTGCCTGACCCCAACAGCGTGTGAGTGACACCCACAGCAGAGTGGGGTAACCATAGAAATAATTTACATATAAACTTATACGATGTCTGTGGGGGTAACGATACTCCGCTGCTCAACCGATCGACCACAATAGAGGAAGCAGGGCCAAAACATTGAGGTCTAGCCATGGCCGGCTTATGGAAAGCCTCCAGAGAGGTGGCCAATCAGAAGGAAGAAGGCTTGTTGAAGGGGGTCCATCAACAGGTCCTTGAAGGCTGAAATAATGATATTTTAATACACCACTGTGAGGCTGACAGATATGGACCAAACACTGCAGTGCTTCTAAAAGTTGTAAAGGCTGTGCTGAGCAGTGTAGGCAGTAGTTTAAGCCATACCAGGAAACAGAGGACTATGGTCGATGGCGCAACTTTTCAAGGAAAAACTGTGCAAACTGGTTGAAAACCATACATATATACACTACACTGTATATTGCTACCTAACGGGCATACACCAGCACAACACAACAGTTGGGAAAAAGGTGATGAGGAGGTTTGTGTAAGACAGATTTTTTTGTATCTTCTTTAAGCAGATTTGTTATTCAACATATGTACATCTGACTGTAAAGCAGGTGTGGTATTATGTGGGTAGTAAAGGCTGTTTTGCTCACAAAGGTTTCTTTCTTCATACATAAAGAAGCACAAATTAATCTTAACAGAAGTGTGCAGGTTATGCTATAACACACTAAACACACAGTATACACAGTAAGAGCTGTTTTTAGACAAACGTGTTTTGTGTTGGAGTCCTTTAACACCCCATCTCTGAGACCGGGTTAATGTACACGGTAAATTTCACATCCTATCATCAGTGACAGTTTTAGTTCACCTGTATTGTGGGTGGGACTGTGATCAATGTCTCATCTCACAATTACTGTGAAAAAATACAAATTCACTATTTCTTCTACAAATACAGACAATTATCATCGTACTGTGTTATATGACTGAAAAGTTTCCATTAGTCCATTGTGGGCTGCATGCTACGGAGCCCAGGAGGTGACATTAACTTTTTTTTTTTAAATTCGCACATGGGATTTAGTATCTTGCATGTGCATTTCAGTAAATCACTGGCTGATTTAACTGTTCTTTAATAAGCAAAATCACTTCCTGCACTTCCGAATATCTCCTACAACAAAGTCGCTGTGCTGTAAGGATCCTGATGAGGTGTCTCCTACTCAAAACAATACCAAATATGGCTAAGCTATAAAGTATCTCTTTGTGAGTCATACCTAAATGAAAGAAAATGTTGATAATATGCTCTCTGTCCAGAGTTTTTACAAAAACACGTGCAAGATACAAATAAAATGCATGTTCGAGATATTAAAACGCACATGTGAGATACTTAATCACACGTGCGAGTTAAAAAGAATAAAAGTTCATGTCACCTCCCGGGCTCTGTAGTATTCATGGGAAACACAGAAAGTTTTATTCCTTAGAAAACAGCTCCTGGATTTCAGACTGAGATAAGGAATATTTTTGCAACTTCCATCAGCTGCAGCACAAAGCTGTCAATATTGCATCTCATTGTGCTGAGTAGAAATGACACTCTGGGATTTTGGATTTTGCCATTCTGTTGGAGCTGAGTCTTTAAAAACAGCGGCAAAAATGACTGCATGTAAAGCTTGGTCTGGTGTTGGCTAACAGGACTGTTTGACTGACTTTGGGGCATTTTTTAGGCCGGAGGCTCACATGCAATGAAGAAGAATACATTGCCAGAAGATGAGGCAAATCTGGCTTCAGTTGTGACTAATGAAAATCCCCCTTTCCCACTGAAGTGTGTGCCAAAGCACTCTAATAGCTTCACAGGGGAGGAGAACAATCCAAAACACATCCACAAGAAACCAAGAGGAAACTGTTAGGTGCAAAATAGCTGCAAGCCAGTTCACTTCAGTGGTTCTTTTATTTGGAACCTCAGAACAACCTAGGGCCACTCAATACAGTTGTTTTAGTTGGCAAATGCTGCATATAGCATTGTTTCGTCTCCTACCTTTTAGTATTACAAATTTTCTCAGTCGCTTTGGTGCATTTCTCACATCACTATTAACTTTTGCACAACAGTTAGTTCAACCTCCACAACATAAAGTTATTTTTGCACATCGCTTCAGCAGTTTCTCATTCCTTCCATCAAGTTGCAAATGCTTTTTGACATCAATCGCTTTCCTACAATTCTCTACTGTTTTGTAACATTATCATCTGCTTGTGTCGTGTCAGTCAAAATGAACTATACTTTTAAATGCTGAACAGTCATTCGTCCTCATTTCATTGATTAAGTCATTACCTACAAAATGTTGAACCAGTTCTGAAAATCTGTAAGACGAATTTTAAAAATTTCTTTCTTTTCTGAAAATGTCTCCTAAAATAAACAATTTCTCTCAGGTGTATACCTCACTTCAGGTATACAGTATTTAAACTAAGTATACTTTCATTTAACTTTTTATGCCCTTTTTAGAGATATACTCAGCAAAGTTAATGTTAAAGGGATATTCCGGCGTAAAATTAATTTAGGGTCGAACACACCGCAACACCAAGTTAGACACCCCTCAAGAGATGAATGTTGCAGACCGCTTGCTTATCTGGTTATACCAACTTTAAATAATGACCGCACGATGGCAATACACAGGGATCTACGGAGCCATAAAAAAACCTCAACCAAAACGCCACAAATAATGCTCAGAACAGCACCTAACTTCATCAACAGTACATATAGGGTCCAAGCCATAGTACTAGCCACCAAACATCTCTTTAACCTTGCCTGATTTCTTTAGCAAAGAGACTAAACACAACTCACCCACTCTCTTCCAGCAGCTGCTTGTTTGAGAGGGAGCCCTGACGAGTCGATCACTGAGCGCAGTGGAAAATTTATGATTATTACTTCATGGAAATGCAGTCAGACCGAGACACTATGGCAGAAGAACAACCACGTCTGCAGTGCACAGACAAGATACACAACAACACTTTCAGAGTAAGTTGATGTTCTGATCCCAAACAAGGTGAGCCGACGTGTGGATGGATGGATGGATGGATGCATATATGCATCTCTCTCTCTCTCTCTCTCTCTCTCTATATATATATATATATATATATATATATATATATGTATATATGTATATGTATATATATCAATCCCTAATATAGATAGATAGATAGATAGATAGATGCACATTTTCCTTACATCAGCTGTAAGCAGTACTTTTAAGGCTGTTCTCACATATTATTTTTTTTATAATTATTGGGATTGATACTTTTATATGAAGCCTGATTGCTTGTTTTTTCTTTATAGTTTTAATAAACAACCTTATTATTGTCTTTTTTTTCGGTGTTACTGCACTTTAATAAAAAGTTGCTGAGCTATTTTAGACTTTTAATATTGAATATCACCATAGCAAATATCACTGTGACAACAGCAGACAACCTGCATATTGATCATCAGTAAATCATATCTCTTTTGATAGTTCCATGCAACATGTCAAAAATGGACAACTGGGAGAACATCCAATGGTTATTAGACTGTCTGTAAAATACCTCAGGTTCATGAGGCAGCCTTCGACTCTGATGCTGTTTCACCACTTCTCATGGATTAAGTAACCCTGTGGTGAACACCAATTTAGCAAAGTGTATGACCATAGCCTGTATACGTATACTATGGACGACTTGGCTCCACCTACTGTCATTATAATAATTTGAAGCTCTCACTATTTCCAGGATTTTCTCCACTTCCTGAAATCAACGTTGGGCAGGAGCATTGTACGTACTCAGCGGGAGAGTCGTCGAGAGTTGCTGTGATGACGCTCGGCTCAAACAGCCTATTCCCCGGGTGAGCTACACAATCTTCGTACGCCCACAGGCTGTATCAAGTGTCAATCGTAGAAAACATGAACCCCCTAATAACTTTTAAAAATGGAGCTGTACAGAAAAAAAGAGGACTTGAGCAATAACCAGTCTTACTGTAACTACATGTCAAAATCACAACCGGGGGGAGAAAAATGTATATTCTGTGTAATAAATTTCTAAAGTTTGTCCACAGCTCCATAGGGATTGCTGGAGGAGGCGGGATTTATGACCTATACTGCGGCCCATCACCAGAGGGTGCTGTTCTCTTAGTGGCTTCACCCAGCGAGGAGGCAAACGGCATCCATTCTATATACAGTCTACATAATATCAGACCCTGGCATTTTATAGTCCTAGGGCCACATCTGGCCCTTTGATGTCCCTGCCCGGCCCTTCGTGAGGTCTGTCAATCAAATCATCAACACGCTATAAAAGTGTGTCACTTTTATTTTGAAAACCTAGCCGTTGTTTTATTTCCATTTGGCTGCACCTGCGTACATCCTAGATCTGCATTCGTGAACAGAGACAAGTTTAAACATCAGCAAAATGTACGTAGACGCCTTGTAGTTGCTCAGTCCGCTTATTATAAAAGACTTTAGGCTTGTTTCCCTCAGAAGTCGCTTGTAAAACTCGTGAGTCGCAGGTGCGTTTTTTGGGCTTGTTTTTATCTAGTAGTTGCTTATTTGGGCTTGCTTCTCTGTATAACCTCCCCTGATTTGAAGTTGAAGTTATTGTTGGTCCGGCCCTCCAACACAGTTCAGGTTTCTCATGTGGCCCCATGTAATAATTAACTGCCCACTCCTGGTCTATATGTTTGATTACATGGAGATATGGTTCTCTCACGTGTTTATAATGTACATTCTTTGTGGAAGGACGGATGGATGTGAACATCCTTATGAATTTGTGACAGGCCATACACTGTATAAATGTTATGCTGTTCCCAGAGGTCAGTTGGATGTTGTTCAGACCTTCAGAAATGACAGTAAATGTGAGTCAGTGATAGAGTTCGCTTATCCAGTACAAATGCCCCCTCAGTTGGCCTACCTGACTCTAAAATAATCTTTTATTATCTTCTGAAACACGAATGTAAACTAAAAAAGGACATGACAACAACTTGCCTGAATTCAAGTCAATTTGGTTACATAAGCCACATTTTAGGTAAAGATAAATGAAACTACAGGCACATTAACAGGATTGCATATCCTCTTGTGTTCTCACAGAAGAACATCTGGACCAAGTGCATGAACATGATCCATCGAAAAGCTTTTGATTGGGTGGGCACGAATACCAAGTGGGTGAACCAAACCCCTCCATCGCCTGCCCACTCGCTACTGCTTAGTGCTAAAATACCAATCAAAACGTACCAGACTTTCACTCTGTGCAAAAAGTGTAGCATGCCCCCCTCAATAAACCATATTGCAACACATCTAAGAGGTGAACTCAGTGACTTATTTCACTGACTCCTAACAGAAAACAGCAAGTAATGATGGTTGGAATACATTCAAAGTATGAGATAGACTGAAGATGACATGTCTCCGAGAAGACTCAGACAAATCCAGTGATTTTTTTTTGAGAGCTTGTTAAAACACTGAACTGCGTATAAGCAAAAACAGTCCAGGTGGAGAGGGTACTTTTGAACAACCTTCTGAGCACTGAGGCCTTTTAAAGTCTTAAAGTTAACAGTGTTTGCACAGGGGAACTCTAAAATGTAGCTTGTCTGTACTTGTCTGCACAACAGTCAACATTTCACTCTTTTTGAACATTTTGAAAAAGTCTTTACAAAAGAGCTCTCAACAAGAGGAAAGCATCTTGTGCCTCTAAACAACTGAACACAATACTGGTGCCATTTTTATGGCAGATGGAACTTCAGCTTATGTGATTCAAACACATAATAAAAGATAATTATCAAAACAGTGTGTTGCCACTGGCAGGCTGCAGGCAGCCATTCAGTAAATACACTTTCTCTCCATTGTTCAGGTGCATTGTCAGAGACAATAGAGCTTGCTTTTTTAGAAGAGGCGGCACAAACAACAAAACTCTGTTTCAGTTCGTAAAGTAGTGAATCCCTGCTCGAAATGTCATTGTGTTCTGAAACTCATCGTATCATTAAAAACAACCTACAATGGTGAGTGAAAATATGCTCACTTAGGATCAGGAAAGAAAAAAACGTTACGAAAGTCAAAGAAATCAAACATAAGAGGGTATCTCAGGGATTTTTAAGGTGGAGTTTGCAGGATTGTTGGTCATTTGTGATGTTGATAAACATTCAAAATTAACTCCTCCCTGCGGGCTTGACCCCATCAGAAGCTCGCTAATTTGTATGTTTGTATTGTGTCTGCAGACATCCAAACACGTGGCAGAGGTTGGCCACGTTGTGAGGACTAGTTTTATTTGCAGAGGATTTATTGAGGGGAAGTTTTTCTTTTTTTTTTCTGCAGATGTCTTGCCGTCTTTCAGATCATCTGTTTTTTCTCACTGTATTCACCTTTTCACAGATGGCCTCCCACATTGCATTTCTTCTGGCAACGCTGAGATGTCCTTGCTGGAGTTCACCAGTGTGCTCATTCGCCTCCACCACCAAGACCTCCAACTCCATGGCTTCAAACTTTATTTTTTGGTTATGGCCACTCTGCTCTCTCAAACACTTTAGCGTGTGTTATCAATTGCGCACACCATCATAGTAGATCACCCGCAACACACCTACTGAAAGCACCGGCAATTTTTTAGCAACCAGGGGGGAGAAAAATTTATATTCTGTGTAATAAATTTCTAAAGTTTGTCCACAGCTCCATAAGCTTTGCTGGAGGAGGCGGGATTTATGACCTGTACTGCAACCGGTCACCAGAGGGTGCTGTTCTGGCTTCACACAGTCTATGATGATAGACCACAGTTTTCTTCACCTGCATGATTTTGATCTAAGAATGGTGAAAAGATATGGACCTAGCTGCCAGGCCGGTCGCAAGCAATGGGTGACAGTGGTGTCTGCAGCAGTTGTTAGAACACCACACAGCTGGAGTTAGGATACAGCCCTTTTTTTAGATGAAGCATCAGGGTTATAACTGCAAGTTTGATGACAGCTACCTTTGCTGGACTGAAAGCAACGTTAGTGATCTGGCCTGAAGAATATCTGACAAATCTCCAAGTTGATGACATGGTGTCAGTTTTTGGGGCAAGCCTAGTTCCTAGTTGGTAGATCTCAACCATGATGGTAGAATCTGCCAAGTATTATGAAATCAATTATGTCAAAGGATTTGGAGAACAAAGCTTGAAGGAATCTGCCAATACTGATTAGACTATACTGATGATATAAAGCGGTGTCAGCATTACAACAAAGATTGAAAACTATTAATCATTACCTACGATTAAACCTGCCTCGTTAGAATTTAAAAATAATATAAACAATCCTCAAGCGTTGGTGTCTCTTGAGTTTTGGGAGCAATGAGGTTTTTTTAGTGTCTGAGTCTTTGGACTGTCAGTCAGGGCATCCTCCACAGAGAGTATGAACCAAGTGTGGACATGTACAGTAGTGCACATGTGTGTCTCTGTGCGTGTGTGTTTGCGTCAGAGAAAGAAAAAAGAGCCTCAGATGAAGAGGAAGGAAAAGAGGGAGCAAGAGTTTGAAAGAGGAAGAGAAGAAAAAGAAAGGGTAAAAGAAAAAAGAGGAGATGGAGAGAAAAGGGAGAAGTGTAGAAAAGGGTTTTGTAATCTCAGTATAGTGGTGTTGTGCCGTCTCCATGGCGACAGGCACAAAGGCCTGTGGTTGGCCATTGATGGCTAATTGTATTCTTCACAGCTCTTTTGTTAATTGTTGTCTGCCCAGCTCCCACTTCCTGCTGGGCCACGGCACAAAGCCATGAACAGGAGGGATTAGAAATGGCACATCAGCTTGCCCAGTGCACAGCCAAGCTAACTCTACCTTGTTCTCTCTCTCTTTTTCTCTCTCTCTCTCTTTCTTTCTCTTTCATTCTCTCTCCTCCTCTC